TAACCAAAGCCCTCCACCGGACCCTGTCCTGGGCCAACAAAATCCAGTCTCCTTCAACTCCTCTCTCCCATAGATCCCGCCTGACATTATCCTCCCATCTACGTCTAGGTCTCCCCAGCGGTCTCTTCCCCTCAGGCTTCCCGACCAATACCTGGTGCACACCTCTTGTCCCATCCATGCCCGCTACATGCCCCAGATTTGTACAGAACTGTAAAATAGTAATTTTTATAAACAAAATTCTTGACGCATTCAAATTTCTATTAAAATCGGACGACAATGACGAACGACTACTGCGCTCTGAGGTGAATGGGGAATCCTCAGGATACCTCGGTTATCACTTACATGCGCAATGCCTGTGACACAAGAGCGTGACATTCTTAACACTGCATTTTGCAGAAATAACAGGATATTACATAACCTTTAGTCATGTCTCAGAGTGGTGTGCAAATGCCTTACATGACGAACGCAAAGGTGAAATGAACTCGAATTTCCTGTTCACGAATACAAGGAGATAAGCTCTTTTTTTTCTGCATAAACGCCTTTGTCACGATTACAGGAACGGCGTCCTTCTAAATGCACACGAGGAAAACAAGATGGTTACAAACGTTTCGGAGGAAATTATCGCCTTCATCTTCAGGGTTTTAAAAATCTCGTTGTAATCGAGAGTTCCGTGGTACATCTCGCTAAATCTCACCTTAATATTCAATGCGAACGATGTCGTTCTTGAACTGAGATTGTGTTCACGAGTATAACAGGGTTGAACTTTATATATGATGGACTCTCCGTACATCAGTGCTTGTTAGATGGTTCTAAGAACAAAAAGCTGTGATTCAATTAGACGTAACACTGTTTATTCTCACGTTGGAAGACTGCCAATCTCCATATTACATCATGTGATAATAAGTGAAGCTCGTATCAATACATTACATTGGACGGCCGTGTTTAGCGACTTTCTCAGAGACAAATTGACATAGGCACTTGTACTGGAAGTGAGAAGTGTCCGATTTCTCACTTCCAAAGAATATTATTATCATATCTTACCACGCCATTGAAAATGTGTGTTATATTCAGATCTTACACCGCACACACGTGCGTATTTTACGGATATTTATAAATTTCATTCAAGACATTTTTTCTGTCAGATAAATACTTAGCAAGGTGCCAAAATAATACGTTCAGCCCCGTGAGTCAATCGGACTTTAAATTAAATTTAAACTTTTTTTAGGTAGAAAATCATTTTCAAATTTCTTAAGCATTATCCAATTCCTGCGATTACCTTCTAAATTGTGTGCGCTCGATTTACAACGCATTGCGTACAGCCAGAACAGGGGTTACCATCGTTTTAATGCCTGGGGCCACATTTGTTCATTCTTATCGATCAAAAATGACAATTCGTTATAACTTCATGGCAGTTTATTAAGAATGCTAACCTACTCTTGCAGACAGGTTACCATATTACTCAATCGAGAGATAAGATTTTTTAGGATCACAGACTCAAAGGGCGCTCATTTGCTAAATTTGATCTTTTACAACTTAGTTTGATTAAAGATAATTTACTGTTCGCTAAACTGTAATAATACAAATAAACCCGAATAAAAAATAATCCCTTCATCAAACTAAAGTAATACGACTGTCTGCAGTGAGGAGACCGTGGGTTAAGCGTCCAAAACTTGTCGGCCCTGGCCGATAAAATTCAGAACGAGGTGTACCACAATTGATCATCCTTGAGCTCCATCTACTATTGTTAAAAGAATAACAAAAGAACAACGGAGTGCGATCACATCGACCCAGAAGAAGTATTAGACAGTGACGCACAAAACAATGACACCTTCTCAAAAATTGTTTCACGTAAAAAAATTTAGACCTTTAGCAAGTCAACACTGGATGTCACATGCAAGGTTTTTATACGTTGATAAATTATTTAAAATTATATTTCATCTTCAAGAAAAATGGGGTTACGTTGTATCAGTACGAAGCAGAATTAAAGATCTCCCAGTATTTTTCAAGAGCCGTGTCAATCATTCTGACTCCTATATAAAATTAAATAAATATCAGCGTAATCTTGCCCGTTGTTTTGTATGGGTGCGAAACATGGTCTCTCACTCAGAGGGAGGAACACAGATTGCAGGTGTTTGAGAATCGGGTGTTGAGGAGGATATTTGGGCCTAAGAGGGAAGACGATGGGGCGTGGAGAAAACTGCACAATGACGAGCTTAAAAATCTGTACTGCGCCCCCAGTATTGTGAGGGTGATTAAGTCAAGAAGAGTGAGATGGGCGGGACATGTAGCGCGCATGGATGGGACAAGAGGTATGCACCGGGTACTGGTTGGGAAACCTGAAGGGAAGAGACCGCTGGGGAGACCTAGACGAAGATGGGAGGATAATCTCAGGCGGGATCTATCCGAGATATTTCGTAGATGAATCTAGGTCTGGAAATTGGAATAGGTTCAGACGCCAAGTAAAATAACCCTTCCATGAAATATGCGGACGGTAGGAAGGGACCTTATTAAGCGAACATTTCATGGCGATTAACGCGTAATAAGTTTTGCCCGATAACGCTTACGGAAGGACGAGCATTTTGTCATAATTACTTAAGATAGACCAACAAGGTAGGCTCTCCAAGAGTTGAAGTTGATTTACAATTACGTCACGTACTATACTAAGAAATTCAGCCTAAGGGAACGACAATAGTTCAGATTGAAGTGACAAAACCTGGAAAGTACAAAGATGTTGAACCTAACTCTGACGTAATATACTTTGAGGAAGGATAAATCAACAAACTTGTGGTACAACTCCGAGGAAATACATAGCCCGAAACAGACATTTA